CTTAACATCAATCAATTCATTCATGGATGTAGAAGACTCGAAACAACTTCAGAAGTAATCACGACGAAAATTTTAACAAAATTATGCAATAACATCAATGTACGAAAACAACGAGTAAACACAATGAATCCAAAAACACCGATTGTATGACACACCACACATATATACAAACTGTACACAAAAACTCGCGGATCATGTCTTGATTGAATTCCTTTGAAGAATCGCAGGACTTACACCAGTACGCCTACAACCCTTCTCAGGTTGACGATTGCAATTTGTGGAATGTCCGGACACAAACAAGATTAACCAACAATTACATCAATTGGAACTCACACAATTATTTAACACAAACATATGTACAATCACTACATCAAATGTTGTGTATTCTGGCACGGCAAACTACCCTTGAAGAACTGTAGGACTTACAGCAGTACGCCTACATTCCTTCTCAGGTTGATGATCCAAGTGGAAGTCGTCCGGACACAAACAGAATTACCAACAGCTAGATGACAAATTATATCAATTCAGTATATGCAATATGAACATATGTACAAAATCACACACCAAGCACATTGGACTGCTCATTGATGCGCTACCCTTTGGAGAATTGTAAGACTTACAGCAGTACGCCTACAACCCTTCTCAGGTTGACGCCCTAGGTTGGAAAATCGTCGCAGAGTTCATTTGCTAACTTCCTTCTATGAGCTATATCCTCAAATCTGAACGGCAACACCCCCATGTCATTGTATCGTAGAATATAGATGACGAACAAACACACGACATATCTCATCAACCAAGTGTAGAAACAGAGTAATTTACACCAAAGATAATAACATTCAATTAGTAACTTGAAACTAGAAATGCCTTTATTCGTGCAAGTCAATTTAACAATTACTCTCTCGTTTACACTTGGCTTATCCTCGAAAACTAACCATCCAGCTCAGAGAACAAAACACATCAAAAAAATTATCCCCACTAAACTGACCATTGATATTCGTCCTTTCAAACTCACTGATACTACCATAGTCATTGCACAAGATACTTGAGTTGGTGGGTGTCTGTTTCATTGTGGATGACAGCACCAATGACGACTGATTGATATCAGTTGATGAAGTTAGAGGTGGATCGAAAGCTGCTGTTGCTCGACTTTCAGAAATTTGTCTACCTGCAAGACCACTAACACTGCTGGATATTATTATCAGCTTCGCTTTACGACTAGCATCTGATGAAAGGTGGGCTTCACGCTGATCAATTACACTGACGGTTTGACAAGTATGCATGCCTTCAGCAACTGCATTTAAATGTACATCACGTTCAAGTTGTACAGAACCTTTATTTAACTTAGCGGTAGTAGGCATTCCCCCCATTTCATCATGATCAACCAAAGACAAATCTGCACTATCATGATCATTATAACAAATATTCAATTTACCGTCAACTTCATCATTTTCAAAATCTTTATTAACAGAAGTAGACAATTTCGGTTCCTCCTCACAAATCACTAAAGGTTTTATATCTTCACTCTGACTAGTTATACTTTGTAAACTTGTGGAGTCAGAACTGCACCCTTAAGCAGTAACTCTTTTCTGTGACACTCTATTCAACAATGGCTTACCAGTTGCAACTACAGACTTCTTCACAACACCGTTATCGTCACACAATTCGGAGTCAGACCTGGAGTTTACATTTAGCTTATCACTGAACTTGCTCACTGGTTCACAGTTCACTTCTGTATGCACTTCTTGCACACGTGTAAAACAAAACCGTGTTTGTCTTGCATCTTGTAACTTATCTGTTGAGGATGTACTACGAAACCCGTTACACTCACTAGGTCTATATGCATTACTAGACATCATGGAGTCTTCTCGATATCCACCTCTCTGAGGCCTACTCGTCATCAATGAGTGCGTTTTACCCTCAGACTGCTCTATTCTAGGGGTGAGATGTAATAAACTGGCAAACTTGCTCATAGATTGATTGACACTATTGTTTACCAGTTTCATAATGTCATCGAACCTTGGCTCGATACCCTCATCCTCCATACGGGAGCTTCTCTTCACCCACTTCCTTTGCAGTCGAGTAGGTAGACGTCTTGCTATTAATTCTAGTATAAAACTCGAGTTGAGGTCACTCATACGATTCATAGAAATCGAGGTGGCACAGTGGTTAGGACTCTCGCCGACCATGGACATGGTCCAGGGTTCGAGCTCACGCCGGGACACACCTGATATCTAAGGTCGGCCGGCAAAATTTGGGCTACCGATATACATGCCGAAAATTCCATTCTTGTACCAAAAATACAGTGCGGAATCAAGCTGTAAATCAAAATCAAAAAATAAGTCAACAGATTATCCAAAAACTCAGTGAGTGCCTGGGAGTCATCCTCTAATTGACCACCATTACCCTTAACAGCCTCGAATAATTTCCCTACAATCATCGAAGGTCTTCCAAACCTTTGACGTAGTATGCTCATAGCCTCGTAGTAGCCTTCTTTCGGCTTCATAAACTTACAACACTGCATAGCTCTTGCAGAAATTCCAGTGCAATACCTCATCAAATACATCAATTTCAATTCATCACTTAATAAAAAACTACTCAGCATGATCTCAAACTCCTTTACAAGTTGTAAATAATCAGCCAGGTTTCCATCAAAACACCGTGGTTCAAATTTAGGGAGTTTGATGTTCCTATTATCCCTGAACGGCGAAACAGTAACATCAACCATGTCATGCATAACATCAGACACATCGTTACAATTAACAGACAAGTCACCATGACTTACTTTCCTGTTTGCATCCAAGACACTCTGTCCCTTCTTTGACCCAGGCATTGTTGAACTTGACCCAATTCCTAAAATGTTCCAGATATTCCTTGTTCAAAGAGGACTTGACCGGCACCAGGAAAAATGAACGGCGACTATCCAAAATTTCACCAACTGTTTGAATCCGCCAGAATCTGTTTCCGCCGTCAGAAACTGTCAATCACGTCTCATAAACCGTTAATGCCCAGCTCTCGCCACGCTCGGGCCCACGCTGTTCTTCGAAGATTTCAGAAACGCTTAGTTATAACGGACGAATAACCAAAACACCGATCTGCCGTTTGATATTTCTTTATTGTTACACCAACATATAAAAGGAATAAGCGAACTAAGGTTTCTGATTATGTTTCACTCTTCTTTCTGAACAGCGACCGATGAGACGATGACTGTCGTATTGATGACTCCGCGAAAATTGGGGAAGTTGATTTTAAGCAAACAACCAAGAATTGATCGTTCAATCTTCAACTCCATTGACAATGTGATTTATTATTGTAATATTTGTTCACAGACCTTAGTAGAAATATTTTTTATATGTTGGTGTTACAATAAAGAACTCCCAAGCGGCCAATCGGTGTTTTGGTTATTGCGTCCATTATTACTAAGCGTTTCTGAGAAACTTCAAGAAACAGCGTGAGCCCGAGCGTAGCAAGAGCTGAGCATTAACGGTTTACGAGATGTGACTGACAGTTTCTGATGGTAGAAACAGACTTTGGTGGATTCAGACAGTTGGTGAAAGTTTGGATAGTCATCGTTCATCTTGCCTGGTGCCGGTCAAGTCCTCTTTCAACAAGCAATATCTGGAACGTTTCTGGAATTGGGTCAAGTTCAACAATGCCTGGGTCAAAGAAGGGACAGAGCGTCTTGGATGCAAACAGGAAAGTAAGTTGCATGGAGGATTTACTCATGAGCTGACATCAGTTAGAGAACCACTGGAAAACCTGGGAGTACTGGACAGCCGTTTCGTCCTAGTTTGGGACTCCCCAGCAGTACGCGCCCACCGGAATTCGAACCCAGGACCTTCTGGTTACAAGGCGATCTCGTAGACCATTGACTCACTGGGACTCGATCCAATGGTCCTTGTCATGGTGACTTGTCTGTTAACTGTAACGATGTGTCTGATGTTAAGCATGACATGGTTGATGTTACTGTTTCGCCGTTCAGGGATAATAGGAACATCAAACTCCCTAAATTTGAACCACGGTGTTTTGATGGAAACCTGGCTGATTATTTACAACTTGTAAAGGAGTTTGAGATCATGCTGAGTAGTTTTTTATTAAGTGATGAATTGAAATTGATGTATTTGATGAGGTATTGCACTGGAATTTCTGCAAGAGCTATGCAGTGTTGTAAGTTTATGAAGCCGAAAGAAGGCTACTACGAGGCTATGAGCATACTACGTCAAAGGTTTGGAAGACCTTCGATGATTGTAGGGAAATTATTCGAGGCTGTTAAGGGTAATGGTGGTCAATTAGAGGATGACTCCCAGGCACTCACTGAGTTTTTAGATAATTTGCTAATTTACAAGAATGGAATGATTTCGATGAATCGCATGAGTGACCTCAACTCGAGTTTTATACTAGAAGTAATAGCAAGACGTCTACCTACTCGACTGCAAAGGAAGTGGGTGAAGAGAAGCTCCCGTATGGAGGATGAGGGTATCGAGCCAAGGTTCGATGACATTATGAAACTGGTAAACAATAGTGTCAATCAATCTATGAGCAAGTTTGCCAGTTTATTACATCTCACCCCTAGAATAGAGCAGTCTGAGGGTAAAACGCACTCATTGATGACGAGTAGGCCTCAGAGAGGTGGATATCGAGAAGACTCCATGATGTCTAGTAATGCATATAGACCTAGTGAGTGTAACGGGTTTCGTAGTACATCCTCAACAGATAAGTTACAAGATGCAAGACAAACACGGTTTTGTTTTACACGTGTGCAAGAAGTGCATACAGAAGTGAACTGTGAACCAGTGAGCAAGTTCAGTGATAAGCTAAATGTAAACTCCAGGTCTGACTCCGAATTGTGTGACGATAACGGTGTTGTGAAGAAGTCTGTAGTTGCAACTGGTAAGCCATTGTTGAATAGAGTGTCACAGAATAGAGTTACTGCTTAAGGGTGCAGTTCTGACTCCACAAGTTTACAAAGTATAACTAGTCAGAGTGAAGATATAAAACCTTTAATGATTTGTGAGGAGGAACCGAAATTGTCTACTTCTGTTAATAAAGATTTTGAAAATGATGAAGTTGACGGTAGATTGAATATTTGTTATAATGATCATGATAGTGCAGATTTGTCTTTGGTTGATCATGATGAAATGGGGGGAATGCCTACTACCGCTAAGTTAAATAAAGGTTCTGTACAACTACAACGTGAAGTAGAATTGAACGCAGATGGAGTTCCAGGTGTGAATACTTGTGAGACAGTCAGTGTATTTGATCAGCGTGTAGCCCACCTATCATCAGATGATAGTGCTAGACCCGAACTAGTAGTGAGAGACAGCTGTGGTGGTAATCCTGCAGTTAGACAACTATCTGAAAGCCGAAAAAGAACAGCTTCTGATCCACCGCTAAGTTCATCAACTTGTGTCACTCAGTCATCGTTGGTGTTTTCATCCACAATGAAACAGACACCCATCAACTCAAGTATCTTGTACAATGACTATGATAGTATTGGTGCGTTTAAAAAGACGAAAGATATTGCTCAGTTTAGTGAGAATAAGCCAAGTGTAAACGAGAGAGTAATTGTTAAATTGACTTGCACGAATAAAGGCATTTCTAGTTTCAAGTTACTAATTGAATGTTATTATCTTTGGTGTAAATTACTCTGTTTCTACACTTGGTTGATGAGATATGTCGTGTGTTTGTTCGTCATCTATATTCTACGATACAATGACATGGGGGTGTTGCCGTTCAGATTTGAGGATATAGCTCATAGAAGGAAGTTAGCAAATGAACTCTGCGACGATTTTCCAACCTAGGGCGTCAACCTGAGAAGGGTTGTAGGCGTACTGCTGTAAGTCTTACAATTCTCCAAAGGGTAGCGCATCAATGAGCAGTCCAATGTGCTCGGTGTGTGATTTTGTACATATGTTCATATTGCATATACTGAATTGATATAATTTATCATCTAGCTGTTGGTAATTCTGTTTGTGTCCGGACGACTTCCACTTGGATCATCAACCTGAGAAGGAATGTAGGCGTACTGCTGTAAGTCCTACAGTTCTTCAAGGGTAGTTTGCCGTGCCAGAATACACAACATTTGATGTAGTGATTGTACATATGTTTGTGTTAAATAATTGTGTGAGTTCCAATTGATGTAATTGTTGGTTAATCTTGTTTGTGTCCGGACATTCCACAAATTGCAATCGTCAACCTGAGAAGGGTTGTAGGCGTACTGGTGTAAGTCCTGCGATTCTTCAAAGGAATTCAATCAAGACATGATCCGCGAGTTTTTGTGTACAGTTTGTATATATGTGTGGTGTGTCATACAATCGGTGTTTTTGGATTCATTGTGTTTACTCGTTGTTTTCGTACATTGATGTTATTGCATAATTTTGTTAAAATTTTCGTCGTGATTACTTCTGAAGTTGTTTCGAGTCTTCTACATCCATGAATGAATTGATTGATGTTAAGGACAGCAGATGGGTCGTATACGCCGGGGAGGCTATTGCTGAGAATGAAATGCACACGGAGATAATTGTTAGCTGCGGTCCGACACGCCGGGGAGAAAGAGTGTAAACGTCTGAGGCTCGCATGCGTCACCGCTACTAGAACTGAGGCAGAATGAGTGACAAGCGATTTCAGTGGTAATTGGTAATGAGTAGATAAGAGGATGTGCGTAGAGTATCGTGAGGTGCTGCCATGGTCACTTTGCATTCTGCAAGAGTCATTGTAGCAAGTGGCGACTGTGTTGCAAGATGTCAAGAGGAGGTCTCTGTCTGGAGGCGCAGGTCGTCAGCGATGTGTGAGATTGTGCTGTGCGTATGCTTGTGGTGTGTTGGCTTTTCTGTTTGATTTCCATTTCAGCTTTGTCCGTGTGACCCAAGTTCTCGCAATGGCATCCAAGTCAACGTGTATTGGTCGTGAAGGAGAAAAAGGGTTGGATCCATTTTTTGCCTGGGAGTGTCAATGGAGTTGAAGATTGAACGATCAATTCTTGGTTGTTTGCTCAAAATCAACTTCCCCAATTTTCGCGGAGTCATCAATACGACAGTCATCGTCTCATCGGTCGCTGTTCAGAAAGAAGTCAGCAGTAAACCATCAGAATTAATCCTGTGATTTATTATTGCAATATTTGTTCACAGACCTTAGTAGAAATATTTTTTATATGTTGGTGTTACAATAAAGAACTCCCAAGCGGCCAATCGGTGTTTTGGTTATTGCGTCCATTATTACTAAGCGTTTCTGAGAAACTTCAAGAAACAGCGTGAGCCCGAGCGTAGCAAGAGCTGAGCATTAACGGTTTACGAGATGTGACTGACAGTTTCTGATGGTAGAAACAGACTTTGGTGGATTCAGACAGTTGGTGAAAGTTTGGATAGTCATCGTTCATCTTGCCTGGTGCCGGTCAAGTCCTCTTTCAACAAGCAATATCTGGAACGTTTCTGGAATTGGGTCAAGTTCAACAATGCCTGGGTCAAAGAAGGGACAGAGCGTCTTGGATGCAAACAGGAAAGTAAGTTGCATGGAGGATTTACTCATGAGCTGACATCAGTTAGAGAACCACTGGAAAACCTGGGAGTACTGGACAGCCGTTTCGTCCTAGTTTGGGACTCCCCAGCAGTACGCGCCCACCGGAATTCGAACCCAGGACCTTCTGGTTACAAGGCGATCTCGTAGACCATTGACTCACTGGGACTCGATCCAATGGTCCTTGTCATGGTGACTTGTCTGTTAACTGTAACGATGTGTCTGATGTTAAGCATGACATGGTTGATGTTACTGTTTCGCCGTTCAGGGATAATAGGAACATCAAACTCCCTAAATTTGAACCACGGTGTTTTGATGGAAACCTGGCTGATTATTTACAACTTGTAAAGGAGTTTGAGATCATGCTGAGTAGTTTTTTATTAAGTGATGAATTGAAATTGATGTATTTGATGAGGTATTGCACTGGAATTTCTGCAAGAGCTATGCAGTGTTGTAAGTTTATGAAGCCGAAAGAAGGCTACTACGAGGCTATGAGCATACTACGTCAAAGGTTTGGAAGACCTTCGATGATTGTAGGGAAATTATTCGAGGCTGTTAAGGGTAATGGTGGTCAATTAGAGGATGACTCCCAGGCACTCACTGAGGTTTTAGATAATTTGCTAATTTACAAGAATGGAATGATTTCGATGAATCGCATGAGTGACCTCAACTCGAGTTTTATACTAGAAGTAATAGCAAGACGTCTACCTACTCGACTGCAAAGGAAGTGGGTGAAGAGAAGCTCCCGTATGGAGGATGAGGGTATCGAGCCAAGGTTCGATGACATTATGAAACTGGTAAACAATAGTGTCAATCAATCTATGAGCAAGTTTGCCAGTTTATTACATCTCACCCCTAGAATAGAGCAGTCTGAGGGTAAAACGCACTCATTGATGACGAGTAGGCCTCAGAGAGGTGGATATCGAGAAGACTCCATGATGTCTAGTAATGCATATAGACCTAGTGAGTGTAACGGGTTTCGTAGTACATCCTCAACAGATAAGTTACAAGATGCAAGACAAACACGGTTTTGTTTTACACGTGTGCAAGAAGTGCATACAGAAGTGAACTGTGAACCAGTGAGCAAGTTCAGTGATAAGCTAAATGTAAACTCCAGGTCTGACTCCGAATTGTGTGACGATAACGGTGTTGTGAAGAAGTCTGTAGTTGCAACTGGTAAGCCATTGTTGAATAGAGTGTCACAGAATAGAGTTACTGCTTAAGGGTGCAGTTCTGACTCCACAAGTTTACAAAGTATAACTAGTCAGAGTGAAGATATAAAACCTTTAATGATTTGTGAGGAGGAACCGAAATTGTCTACTTCTGTTAATAAAGATTTTGAAAATGATGAAGTTGACGGTAGATTGAATATTTGTTATAATGATCATGATAGTGCAGATTTGTCTTTGGTTGATCATGATGAAATGGGGGGAATGCCTACTACCGCTAAGTTAAATAAAGGTTCTGTACAACTACAACGTGAATTAGAATTGAACGCAGATGGAGTTCCAGGTGTGAATACTTGTGAGACAGTCAGTGTATTTGATCAGCGTGTTGCCCACCTATCATCAGATGATAGTGCTAGACCCGAACTAGTAGTGAGAGTCAGCTGTGGTGTTAATCCTGCAGTTAGACAACTATCTGAAAGCCGAAAAAGAACAGCTTCTGATCCACCGCTAAGTTCATCAACTTGTGTCACTCAGTCATCGTTGGTGTTTTCATCCACAATGAAACAGACACCCATCAACTCAAGTATCTTGTACAATGACTATGATAGTATTGGTGCGTTTAAAAAGACGAAAGATATTGCTCAGTTTAGTGAGAATAAGCCAAGTGTAAACGAGAGAGTAATTGTTAAATTGACTTGCACGAATAAAGGCATTTCTAGTTTCAAGTTACTAATTGAATGTTATTATCTTTGGTGTAAATTACTCTGTTTCTACACTTGGTTGATGAGATATGTCGTGTGTTTGTTCGTCATCTATATTCTAAGATACAATGACATGGGGGTGTTGCCGTTCAGATTTGAGGATATAGCTCATAGAAGGAAGTTAGCAAATGAACTCTGCGACGATTTTCCAACCTAGGGCGTCAACCTGAGAAGGGTTGTAGGCGTACTGCTGTAAGTCTTACAATTCTCCAAAGGGTAGCGCATCAATGAGCAGTCCAATGTGCTCGGTGTGTGATTTTGTACATATGTTCATATTGCATATACTGAATTGGTATAATTTATCATCTAGCTGTTGGTAATTCTGTTTGGGTCCGGACGACTTCCACTTGGATCATCAACCTGAGAAGGAATGTAGGCGTACTGCTGTAAGTCCTACAGTTCTTCAAGGGTAGTTTGCCGTGCCAGAATACACAACATTTGATGTAGTGATTGTACATATGTTTGTGTTAAATAATTGTGTGAGTTCCAATTGATGTAATTGTTGGTTAATCTTGTTTGTGTCCGGACATTCCACAAATTGCAATCGTCAACCTGAGAAGGGTTGTAGGCGTACTGGTGTAAGTCCTGCGATTCTTCAAAGGAATTCAATCAAGACATGATCCGCGAGTTTTTGTGTACAGTTTGTATATATGTGTGGTGTGTCATACAATCGGTGTTTTTGGATTCATTGTGTTTACTCGTTGTTTTCGTACATTGATGTTATTGCATAATTTTGTTAAAATTTTCGTCGTGATTACTTCTGAAGTTGTTTCGAGTCTTCTACATCCATGAATGAATTGATTGATGTTAAGGACAGCAGATGGGTCGTATACGCCGGGGAGGCTATTGCTGAGAATGAAATGCACACGGAGATAATTGTTAGCTGCGGTCCGACACGCCGGGGAGAAAGAGTGTAAACGTCTGAGGCTCGCATGCGTCACCGCTACTAGAACTGAGGCAGAATGAGTGACAAGCGATTTCAGTGGTAATTGGTAATGAGTAGATAAGAGGATGTGCGTAGAGTATCGTGAGGTGCTGCCATGGTCACTTTGCATTCTGCAAGAGTCATTGTAGCAAGTGGCGACTGTGTTGCAAGATGTCAAGAGGAGGTCTCTGTCTGGAGGCGCAGGTCGTCAGCGATGTGTGAGATTGTGCTGTGCGTATGCTTGTGGTGTGTTGGCTTTTCTGTTTGATTTCCATTTCAGCTTTGTCCGTGTGACCCAAGTTCTCGCAATGGCATCCAAGTCAACGTGTATTGGTCGTGAAGGAGAAAAAGGGTTGGATCCATTTTTTGCCTGGGAGTGTCAATGGAGTTGAAGATTGAACGATCAATTCTTGGTTGTTTGCTCAAAATCAACTTCCCCAATTTTCGCGGAGTCATCAATACGACAGTCATCGTCTCATCGGTCGCTGTTCAGAAAGAAGTCAGCAGTAAACCATCAGAATTAATCCTGTGATTTATTATTGCAATATTTGTTCACAGACCTTAGTAGAAATATTTTTTATATGTTGGTGTTACAATAAAGAACTCCCAAGCGGCCAATCGGTGTTTTGGTTTTTGCGTCCGTTATTACTAAGCGTTTCTGAGAAACTTCAAGAAACAGCGTGAGCCCGAGCGTAGCAAGAGCTGAGCATTAACTGTTTACGTGACGTGACTGACAACTACTTCTCCCAATTCATCACACTTGAGTCGTCACTTCCTGTAGGATCAGCTCTGGCCATACCAGAGGACTACAGGATAGATTCCGTTGACGTCGAGGAAGTGGTCGTGCTGAACATCATATGAATCTAGATGCAGGGAAATTAATTGGTACTGATGATCTCCCTTCAAGGCTTTTCAAAGAGCTATCAGCTCACATACCTTGCCCATTGAGCACGATGTTCAAGATATCTCTCCTTAGTGGAGTGTTACCGCGCGACTGGAAAGATGCCATAGTCGCTCCATCCGAAAAGGAGGATCAGGACAAGTCCCTTCAAATTGCAGGCCTATTAGTCTAGGAGAAACCACCAGGAAAAGTATCATCGACTATTCAGCAAACAACAAAAGTTATCCAGAGCACAGCATAGCTTCCGAGGAAACCTCCTGTCAAAGTAATTTAAGATTGAACGATCAATTCATGGTTGTTTGCTCAAACTCAACTCCATATTTTTCGCCGGAGTCATCAGTACGGCAGTCATCGTCTCATTGTTCGGTGTTCAGTGGAAGATAGAAAGCTATCAGAATTATTATTGAGAATTATTTTTATGACATTTATTCTTAGACCTTGTGTATAATAACCCGATGGTTGGTGACATAATGGCGTAAGGAAAAAGGATTCTCGAGTCGCCAATCTGTGTTGTGGTTTTCCGCGTTGGTTATCACAAGTTGTTTCTGAAAGTCTTCCAGGGACGGCATGAGGTCCAGCGAACTAAGAACTGGACATTGACAGTTACTGCGAGTTGGCTGACAGTTTCTGACAGTTTTCGTTCGTCTTTCCTGGTGCATTTAAGTCTTGTTTGGACAAGTATTATCTGGTACTTTTCTGGAATTTTTGGTCAAGTTCAATGATCCCTAGGTCGAAGAAGGGACAAAGCGTCTTGGAAGCATGCAGGAAAGTAAGTAATGTTGAGTTATCTGTTATATGCAATGTGTGTGATGTTAAGCATGATAAGGTTGATGTTAATGTTTCGCCGTCTAAAGATAATATAAATTTCAAACTGCTTAAATTTGAACCCCAGTGTTTCGACGGAAACTCAGCTGACTATCTACAGTTTGCAAAGGAGTGTGAAATCATGTTGTGTAGTTTTTTAATAAATGATGAAATGAAGTTGATGTATTTATTGAGGTACTGCACTAGAGTTGCTGCAAGAGCTTTACAGTGCTGTAAGTTCAGGACCCGAAACGAAGGATATACTGAGTCTATGAGTATACTGCGTCAAAGATTCGGAAGAATTTCGATGATTGTAGTGGAAATTGCATTTTGTGAATAACTTTTGAACTCTTGCGCTACAGGTGTTCAGTTTCTGCGTGAATCATTTTTCCTTAATATTTTGGAAATTAGCCGCTTTCCTCACATTATCCAGTTATCCATAGTCAACAAGGATTGTATTGTATCAACTGGAACAACATATAGCATTCACTCGTGAAATCTACGTCAAGAATCCTCGGATACCCTATCTAACTACGTGGAACTCAGGACTTTATCCACAGCAAACTCTGTAAAGGAAAGTCTGACTTTTTATTTTTGCAATATAAATCTGTTTATCGTTGTTGTTTTGATACTTCGATAATACAGCTATCTTATTTTTATATCCTCAAGACTTTTTTTCCGGAAATTGTGAAGTTTCTTATTTCTGTAATGGTTAAGTCTATCAAACGTGTAAGTACCGTTAAGAGACTGAGATCTAATACTAGTCAGCCATCTGAAGGCCTCAGCTCCGTTGACAATTCTACACCTTTTACACCAGCCACACCCAGAGTTATGGTATCTGATATCATGGAGGAATTAGCAGAGAATGCGGCTTGTAGCAAAAATGATTTACTGACACTTCAGAAGTCAATAGCAGAACTACAGAGCAAGTTTGACAGCATTATGCCTCTCACGCAACTGTGTGACCCACCACAAAACATCTGTTTTGAATCACTAATCAAATCCGAGCGCATAATTGACTATTTGGCTGAAGAAGCTGTTAAGAGGATTATGTCTTCACATAACGTCTTGGCCTATAACATTCCAGACAGAGAGCCGATTGCCAAACTTAAGAATTCGTGTCTAAAGGCTTGTAATATGTCGTTGACAGAATGTCAGGTTTTGCGTCTTCGTAAGAAATCTGCAAACCACCCGTGTCCTGTGCTTTTCAAGTTTAGGTCTACCGAAGAAGCCAGGAATTTTCTGAAATCGGGTAAGACAATAGGCTCTTCAACACCATACACTAACATTAGGGTTGCACCTGATTTAACACCATGCCAAAGGCGATGCCGCTCAGGAACAGTGAACCCTGATAACTCTAATAGGATAACTGTAGATGATGTTCCGTGCGTTATTCCGTCTATTGAAATATCTGATCACGGCATGCAACAGACATTTTCGCAGGTAGTGGCTAATGTTAGCCAAGCATTATATAACGATATTGATGCAGACACTGAAATGGTGGACATAGATGAGTCAACGGGAAATAATGTTGAAATACATCGTTTTCACACTGACGCAAAAGTCAAGACACCGAAACCATCAAAACCCATCCCACTGGTGGTCCAACCATTGCCTTATAAGTCAGTTACTCCTCAGTCTGACAATCCACACTCTGTGAAGCACCAGTCGAATGTAGCCACCCAAGTTGGCAAGTTTTCTAGGCGTTATGACAAACGTCCCATTTCCATTAAGAAAACTAAAGCTCATGAGGTGTTCAAGCCACAGAAACCCTACATAGCATGTGCTGACTGCCCTGTTAGCCATCATCAGCCAGTTGATCATAAGATAGGGAAAAAGAAGTAAATAAATTAAATACTAAACCCGGAGCAAGAAAGCCCTTTGATAAGAAAGAGACGAAAGCACCTGTAGGCCTTCTTTGTAAGAGAAAGTCAAATATGGTAGACGAAGCTCCTAGGGGTAGGCCTAATTGGTGCCAAGTGGAAAGCCAATTTTATCGAATCCCTAATTCTAGACAAACAGCACAGCAAGGTAGTAGGTATTGTTCTGCACATCCACTACGTAAACCCCTTGTCAACCAGCCCACTTCTAATATTCTGTCTACTGAAAGTTATAGAAAATACCCCAAACATCGGCCACAGACCACATTTAGCAAGCCAACAGAACCCATTCATATATCTTATGTGTCTAGTGGGGAGCATGTGCCGATTTCTGCACAAAACTTGCCATGGTCTGATGAATACCAGAAACAGATACCAACACTTCATTCTTATACTGGCAACAAATTACCGAATACACATATCGGTTATACCTTAGGGCAGGATTTTCACCAGCGTCAGTTAACAGAAACACCTGGAATCATGCATATAGCACGCATGATATCGGATCAATTCCTTGCTGGCATAGCGAACAGTCTACAGCTAGGGCAAGGCATATTTCCCGGGAGATAGCTGACACAGTGTCGACACCAAACGCGGATACTAATATCTCTAAAATATTAATATCTGATTATCACACAGGTGTCTCTCACTGCATACCATATCCAAACGTAAGCCCATCCCTGACTACCACCTCAAAAATCTACCTGAAGTCTTCCTACGATCCAAAGATATTGGTAAATGAGTCTGATAACATGTATATAGAGGATACTCACGGATTATTTTACCAAGATGTTGTCCGCTCACTGAAACCACATAGCCAGTGTTTATCTATTATCCTAGTAAATACGAGATCAGTTCTAAGCAAACATTTAGCACTAAGTACAATAGCTTCTATATGCAGACCGTCATTGATTATGATCACCGAAGCCTGGTGCACAAGTGAAATCTCCAATGACAGCCTAAGGATTGATAAATACAACCTTTTTCGCGGGGACAGACGGACAGGTCGTGGGGGTGGAACACTAATTTACTGTGAACAATCCATGTGTGCAACCCAGTTTAGTAACCCAATTCTGTCACAACTCAATGACTCGATCTGGGTCGAAATAAAAGTTGTCAGAAGTAAACCTATACTTGTGGGTTGTGTGTACCGGCCCCCTTCATCCAGCAGGGAATATGATAATATGCTTAGCAATATCTTTAATGTTACAGCCAATCTTCCTTTCAGTTATAAAATTATCGGAGGCGATTTCAACTTGCCAGAAGTATCATGGTCTTCACTCCGAGGACCCCAAAGGTACGATAATCTCATAAATTCCATCGTCACAGGAGGGTGGACACAACACATAAATTCACCCACTAGATCCGCAAATATCCTAGACCTTATTTTCACGAACAACATAACGCCATCTACCGTACATGTTGGACATGAATTTCCAGGTAGTGACCATAGAATAGTAGTTTGTTCTTTTGACATCTTTCCTGAAACAAAACGCAGAGATGAAGCTGGCCAGATACCTATGAGATTGTACACACATGCTGACTGGGACTTGTATCAGCACCTAATTAGATGTTCTAATTGGGACTCGTACTTTTCGAACCAGTCCTTAGATGCAATTCTTAACAACTTCTATCAGAATATTAACTCAATTCACGACGTCATTGCACCCGAGAAGATTCTTAACTTCAGATTCCCCCAAAGTGATTATATTCCGACATCGTTTAGAAGAAGTCTACGTAAGCACTCAATAAAATACTACAGATATCATGACTTATCGTCATTAATTGCCATAACGTCCCTTCTCAG